ATGTGCTCAAAAAATCTATATGTGGCTCTGAAATCTGTTACATCAGCCATGTTACACCAAAAAAGCAATGAAGAAATGCATCCGTACACAACACTAATTGCATATTCTTTTTTGCTTTCAGAAAAATCGTGTTTCTCTCCAGATTCATCAGATTGTTAGGGGTAAGGGTTTCCAAATTTTACCTTTATCTTTTCCAACATCTTTTCTACTTGAAGGAGATCTCTTGTTGATTCAAGCATTATCAAGTTGAATTATTAGCTGACCATTATAATACCAGGTATTCAAGTTGGAAAAATCGAGAATCAGTTTTCATTGAAACTCAAGGTTAGTTTCCCAACCGGCTTTACAGTTCAGAGAATAAGTCCTTGAATAGATGAATTTATTATTTTTGATGAAGTAAGATGTTGCAGAACTCCAATTTAGTCAGGGGGTTAACCACAAGCAAATGTATGGTCTCTAAGCCATATTGTGGGAGCTAATGAAATCCAGGGATAAATTGCTGGGCTCTAAGAGGGATAATTCTATTTACAGGGGGATAGATAGAATTTCACTCCTTAATTTCATTTTTTTTTTTGAAGGTTCTGCTAAAATCAGGAAGCTCTAACTAGACTGAGTTTTCAAAATTTTGAACAAGTGACCTGTTCTGGGACAAAATTTGCAATATTTAACTTCTGTTAACCATACAACTGTAGTTTTCAAATAGGGATAAGATTCTTAAGCCATATTCTGAACTAAAAGCCATGTGTGCTATAATCAATAACTACAATAACATACCTACTGTAATCCCACAAGTGAGGTTCGAGGAGGGTGGTGTGTAAGCAAACTTTACCCCTACCTTGGTAGGTTGAGAGATTGTTTACGGAAGATTCTCAGCTCAAGTAAAGTATTTCAAGAAGGTTGAAAAGAGGATACAATAGTAAAGAAGCCATGCTGAAAATAATGGAGAAAAGAATAATCTCAACAACACAAATACGACTACCTCTCCTCAAACCACAATTGTCAACCTCTCACACCTCCATCTCAACACTTCTGCTACTTTCATCTCCTAGACGTGTGAGTTCTTAACCTGCCTACACACTTCCCCATACAACGGTATGAACAATAATAATAAAACGTTCAAAATAATAAAAAATAAATCTTTCACTAAAAAATTTAAGCACTCACAATTCTAAGTACCACCTTTTAATACTTTTGACCTCAAGATTAAAAAGGATGTTAAGTTTGGTACCTGGTAATATTGTTATGACCGATAGGGAAGTAAACAAACGAGGGTTGAAATTTGATCTCCCTCTTTCTACCGGAAAGATTACCATTGACGGAAAATTTACTAGCAACTCTTGTCAAAAGATCAGCTACATTCCATCTCAATTGTGTGTCGTCATAAGGCTCCTTCAAACACTCCATTACAAAAGGGCTACAAAAGACATACAATAAAGTGAATCTTGGTCATAGGGCAGACAGAAAAGAAAATAATAATTTACATTTGTAAGCTTTTGTTAGGAATACTTGTGTTTCTATCCTTCTCCCGCAATAAACTGTAGCAAATATTTCTGACAGATTAACAGGTGCAATAAGAGGTTATTGTTCAAAACTCGCATCCTCCGATAGCGTTTTCAGGCTGCTAAGGACAACCCAAACATATTTTTGAAAACACAGTGGTATCTTGCTCAGCTTGCGTGCACCTCGATCAATCTTTATTTTATGAATGTGTAATTTTATCCACATAAAGCAGCCCTTCCCTAATTCCTCTATTTTCCTTATCCATGTCTCTTCCTCAGTGGGCCTCAAAATATTAGGCATGGGACATACTAAAATGCCACAGAAAGGTGGTTATTGTTGTTGGGTTTTAGCAAGTGTGAATGGGAAAAGAAAAGAGAAAATATCAAAAGTGAGGGAACTACTTTGGAGAGAAAATGAAAAGTCATTTCTTATAAATTTGCAGGTAACGGTAACACTCCGAAAAGTTGTTACTCTTTCCGAAAAGTCGTTACTTTTCGAAAAGTCGTTACTGTCCAAAAAGTAGTTATTTTCCTAACAGACACAATTTTTCGAAAAGTTGTTATTTTTTTTTTCAAAAGACACAACTTTCTGGATAAAATGGGTCTGAACAGATTTCACTGAACAGACATGTTCCTTGCTGAAAATGGCTATAAAAGGAAGTCAATTTTTGATTTTTTAAAAACTGAAATTTTTTTCTTTCTCTGCATTTATTTTTCTCTCAAATAAAATCAAAGTGTCGATCGACTGAGTCTGTGTGACTTGTTGTTGTTCTTCAGTTCGTTGAAGTTAAAGAAGTTTGAGGTACCTCTATTTCTTTAACAGGTTTAATCCGTTTTAACTTGGGAGAAATTAATCCATAACCTTGGGTATAGTGAGGGGATTAAATTTCTTAAGGACACACAGTAGTTTCTGTGGACTCGGATTAATTCTTCTATTTTAAACTTTTTCTGTTTCATCTTGTTTCTGTTTCTGTTCATTAACTTCATAAATACAAGTTATTGTAAGTATAACAATTGCAAGGTCCAAGCACACCAGAACCAGAACAGAGCACTTCAGAACTATTCAAGAGGCAAAGATTGTTTTGCAAGTACCTGTGCTTTCTAAAAGCCATTACAGCACCATTCAAAGTTTTTTTCACGTCGGTCATCCTCAAAAGCAACAGTATTACTAAGTGAAGACAATGAATTCAACACTATGATGTGCAACAACTATAAACTTCACCAAAAGAAATTAAGTTGTTATATTACTGAAGTTAGAACAATCCTGCAGAAAATAGAAAGGACAGAAGTTCATTACAAACATTAGACCACAGCTTTCATATGCTCCTTTAATCAATCTTTTTTTATAAGGTAAGTAAATTCTTTAATGTGAATCAGGGAAGGATTGAGATGTAACACATTTCATGATCCTAGTTTCATAAGGTTCTTTGCCAGGAGATGTTGGTGCAGCCTCACCACAACCCACTTTCTCTAAAAATAACTCATGTAATTCAGCTATTAAAAAAAAAAAAACTCACTAGAGGCAGCAAATTTCTGGAATTATGTGATCTTACAAAGAAGCTTTCCATGTGCCACAGACACAACAATGAGTTATTCACTAACATATACTAACAGCAAAATCTTTTGTATGACTCAGAAAAACTTAGATCCTTCTTCAGTAGTTCTCTCACCGTCATTTTTTATGAAGTGTTTCTAACCATCATCAATTCCATTTCTTAACTTCATGAACAACCTGTCTTGTGATTTACTAGACCAAGTTTAAGAATATCAGCTATGGGAAACAACAACCGAAAGAAAAATATTACAATCACATTGAAATAAACTTCAGCAAATTGAATTCTTAAAAAAAAAAAAAAATCAGCAAATTGAAGTTAATCTATTGCATTAGAGAAGGTAAATGTTTCTGCCGTCAACTGATAAATCTCGAAAAAATTATTGGAATCATTTTTCTATTATACAAATAATACCTATTGAAATAAATAGTCGAGATCTTAAGTGCGGGCTCCTTATCTAATTTGCCTTACCTCAAGTCAAATGTTACATACAGGAAACACCAGATTTTTTAACCTCTGTTATGCAAAACTACGTGGAAGGTAATACATTTAAAATTAAAACTACAATGCATCATCATAGAGATAACACCTCGATTAGCTTCACAGTACATAACAATTTAAATACATTGGGAAGTGTATATTTTCCAAATTGCTTACTTGTATAGAGCTGCCAGCCTGACTAGTTCACTGTAATGGAAAGGATAATGTCTTGTCTGCTTCCATTCATACCAGAAAGAAACAAATACATGTGTTGGTGTGCCTAGTAGGAGCTCATCAAGATTGGGCATCACAACAGCCACTTTGAAGCTGCGGTATCATCAAAACCATCTCTAATAAAGTGCAAATGGAAGAATAAAACACCATAGACATGCATATTTGCGTAAATACACAAAGAGAACTTGAGATTATCTTCTTTTACAAAAAAAAAATATTGTTTTAAGTAAGAACTTAAGACTTATTGGAAGCACTTTGAGTATGATTTTCACGAGGCAAATATGGATAACTTGAGATGAAAATATTAGTCAAACAAACAACAAGCAGAGGCAGATCCAGGTACTTTTAGCAAATGAACTCATTGTATTTTTAAAATTATCGGTTCATATCTACTGTTTGTTGCAATATTCAACTCATAAATTTATGCTTGGCACCGGGTACCTGTACTCTACATCTGCCTCTGCCAACAAGATAACAAATCTAAACTGATGGAAGAAAGAAATTCAGTAATTTACCCAAACCACTAAAGAAATTAAGTTCGATTGTCTCAGAGAAAACCACCACACAAGCATCCCGGTGATACCGAGCGGTAAACATCCATGCCCAGAAACTTCACCTCGGGCATCATCTTCCACAACTTTCATATTACCATTCCTTATCTCTTCCTTACTCCTAGGAGCTGAATCTCCATCACTATCATCAACAACTCTTTTTCCAATTCTAGCATCATCGTTTAAACTTCTACGCTTCACTCTCTTACCTCTATTCACATCCTCATCATTAGTTTTCACTATTGAATTTCAAACATCATTTTTATACAAATATTTGTATAATTGAGTAATTTATGATAAAGTTTGAAATAAAAATTGATACTAACATAAACATATATGAACTTTAAACAATTATACCAAGTATATTATACAAATTACATTATATAAACTAATTATACAAAATTCAAAAATTACATGTTTATACAAACTTTAAAAGGTTATAAACAAAAAGATTGAATCTATACGGTGACAAAACTGAAAAACCAAAGGAAATCATCATCATATACAAATATAGACCATCGTATATAAATGTGGCGATCCATACTAATGTGGCAAATTATACAACTTGAAGTTAGCCCACGTTATTAATAGTTAATGTTAGTCCCGAGAGGTAATTATAACAAACTATAGCTATGATGAGTAATTAAGAAGTACTCCCTCTGTCCACAATTATTTTATGTGGATTCTATTTTTTCATACTCAAACTATAAAAACTTTGACTAACATTTTAAGGTGTATTTTTTAATCATATTGATATGTAAAATATTGCAATTTATAGTACTTCTCATATACTTTTTGAATATCTAACTTTTTTGTTTATAATATCAAATTAATATAATCTAATTTAACTCTGAGAATTAGTCAAATTGACTTTCGCAAAACGCAACATGACAAATAAAAATTGGATGAAGGGAGTAATAATTTTGACTAACTTTTATGAAGTATTTTTTCATCATATTAATATACAAAAATAAAATAAAATTTATTGTATAACTTTTTAATATCTAAATTTTTTATTTATAATATCGAATTAATGTAATGTAATTTAATTTTAATAATTAATCAAATGGAGAGAGAAAATGACATATTAATCATAAGAGAAAATCATATACTCCGTTAATATGCGTCGACCTTTGTTAACGTACAAGAACCCGAGAGAGTCGCCCGTTAATTTTCTACTCATGCTCCCTTTTTGTAATTTGCAGATCATTGTTACGATTAAGTAATTTCAATTTTTATTTTATTTTTGGCAACAACTGTAAAAGATTATAATAATTAATAATCATCAAAATAATTACAATTAAAGAGCACCTTATTTCTATTAGCAGAAACGAGACCTCCAACAAAATAAACAACTAATTACATTTCTAGTTCTCTAATAAAATTTCTACAATTCTGTGCTCTCTTAGTTTTACAATATAAACGTATTCTCTCCCCTATCCCTTTTTTTTATCTGTGCGACAGTTGTCTAATTTTTGATAAACAATTTGAAATATATTTTTCATCAATTAACACGGAAATGGTTGCAACTTCTAGTACTTTTCTTATACTTTATAGATATCTAAAATTTTAAATCGGAAATATTGAGCTGAACTAATAAGTTAGTTAGTTAGGTTTAAGCAATAGTTGTATAATAAAAAGAGTATAAAGTAAGAAAAAAATAATTTAAAATGATTAATAGTTATAAAATGTTATAAAGATGGATTATTATCTAATATTTGTTGCTTATGGAAAGTAGCATATATTCTTTGAAATTAATCAAAATATGTAAAGACTGGACCAAACATCAAAATTATAAAAAAAAATAATCGATAATTGTATTTAAAATTGTGTCATATTTTCATTTTTTAAGTGATAATGCACAAGTACCCCATCAATCTATGTCTGAAATCTCAGAGACACACTTATACTATACTAAGGTCCTATTACCCCCTCCCCCGAACTTATTTTATAAATAATTTTCTACCTCTTTTCGTCCTACGTGGCACTATCTTGTAGGTCTAACGTGTGTTGACATTTTTTTTAAACTAGTGTCACATAGGCCGAAAAGAGGTAGAAAATTATATATAAAATAACTTGAGGGGTAATAGGATCTTAATATATTATAAATCTATCTCAGAGATTTCAGACATAGATTGAGGAATACTTATGCATTTGCCCTTTTTCTTTAAAAAAAAAAAGAGCCTGCAAAAGAAATGGGTAAGAAGAAGTAGAATGATACCAAAAAAACAAAAAACTTCGCACTACCAATAAGGGTTATGGTGGTGATGATTAGATAATTAGCTTCAAATTAGTGATATTCGTATTGTTTCTAAAAAACTTCTTTTCTTGTGTATATTGACATAGGAAGATTCTTCAGGTAAGAATTATTAGTGTTGTACTATATTATTTCACTTCTCAATTATAAGAGGGGTTTGCTAGACGATAAATATTACTCGTTTTCATTTTTAAAGTTCGAATTTATCTAAAAAAAATAAAAATATTTACTTCCAAAACGAAAAAGAAAAATGACATAGTTTAAACATTACATATTAATTTGTTGATACCACATCAAAACAAGAAAACAAAAAATTAACAATTTTGCCAATCAACCAACAAAAAGGAGTTACTAATATTGTGAATTCAAGTTATTGTGGGAGTAAAAATGTGTGAAAGCTCCGAGAAAGTATTTTTAAAAAATAAAATAAAAGAAGATTAATTTGTTAACCCAGCCTAAGTATTTTCATTTTAAAGTCAGTTAGAAAAGTATAACATTAATATCAATGCAGCTCCAGGTGTTACTCTTAAATGTTGTACTATATACTTATAAATATTTATTTATTGAGAAAAAGACTCAACAATAAAACGAGGAATAGTTATTCTGAAGAGTTTATCTAGAGTGTAAATTATATATATTATGAGTGTAAAATAAATAACACTACGTATATTAAATATTTAAATTCATTTTATTAAATGAAAAAGGGTAAAAAATATTTGTACCATATGAAAAACGATTTACAAGTATAAACATGTATACCTCAACTTATAAAAATTCATTTAGTCCTTAATATATTTCACTTATTGAAATAGTATTTAATATATAATAACGGTGCTCATTTTGATCCTTAATATATTTCACTTGATTGAAATAGTTGTTAATGTATAGTAAAAAGGTATCCATTTTAGTCCTTTATTGTAAATTTAACAAATTTCTAAAACAAGTGGTAAACTTAACTATGAACCCTATGTGGCTAACAAAATTCACCAACATTATCTTCTTTGTTAGCTTCAAAGAAAGATTTTCATAACTTCAAATACATTTTTCTACTTTCTCTAACACAATTTACTATTATCAATTTCCTAAAATATTATTTCACTGCCGTAAAACTCTTTTATGTTTTAAGCAAAGGAGAATAATAATACATTTTGTTAAAGAAAGTAGAAACAATTGTGTTCGATTTTATGAAGGTTTTTTCTGTAGAGCTAACAAAGAAACAATAATGGTCGTTCTTGTTAGTCATGTGAAGTTCACAGTTAAATTTCACATTCTCTTTATTAAATCTGCTAGGTTTAGAATAAATGGCTAAAATGAACACATTTTGATATATATTAAGGACTATTTCAATCAAGTGAAATATATTAACGATCAAAATAAATACATTATTATATATTACGGACCATTTCAATCGAGAGAAATATATGAAGGACCAAAATTAAAAATTACTCAGGATCATTTTGGTCATTTTCTCTCGACAAGTTGCTTTATTTTAATACTGTCACATTAAATATAAAAGGAATATTTCCAGCTTGGATCATTGACAATTCGTTGCTTTTATTAACGTTGTACTACATTTAAGTAGACCCGCTGTTTTTTTTTTGTTTTTTTTTAATTTTAATTTTTTTCATTTTAAAAATATCTACAAATAATGGTAGTTGCTGTTTTTGGTGTGCGTATTGAATGTATAGCTCATAAATCACATAAGCAATATAATAACATTATATAAGCATGACCTGATAAGCTCGAATGTCTAAATTAACACGATACATATCACAAATTCAATTATTAAACTAAAAAAATTATTAAAACGTTTTTTATCCACCTTTTGTTGTAAAAATACCTCAACCTACATTTTAACTTAAAAGAATAAAAACCACTCAAACACAACACCCAAAATCTGATAACTATTTCAATTTAAAATATACACATGACTTATTATTATTATTATGATTAACCATGTATAATACTTAACTTAAAAATTAAAGCCACCCACTTATCAAACCCAACCCTGTTGACCCGATTGAACGAATCCGCCAAAAAAGAATAATAATCCAGAGCTTTTGCACACTTTAATTTATAAATTACATTTTATGACAGTATTTTAAGGAGTTCAGTTTCAAAACAAACACTTACTTTATACCATATATCAAAGGAATCATTTCTATAAATACAAATCAAAACAGAAATTTTGCCCACAAATAAGTGAATTATCCTTACCACAATTAACTCTTTTACTTCCACTGCAACATGAGGTTTGTCCATAAATGAGTGAACTATAAATTTATTTTTTCTAAAATTTTAAGTGTAATGTCATGTCTAGCCAATACATAAAATCTTGAGCTTCTTCAATAATAAATAATTTCTTATTCACTTAAAATTTTCTCAATTAGCTTTTGTCTTCTTCTACTGATAAAATATTTTGATCTTTGAAAATTGATAATCATGTATCAACAATTTCAACGGTCTGTATAATTTTTTTAGTTTTTTACTCCTCCCCTACATGCTCCTATCTTTGCTTTGTTGATAACTTAAACTTACGACCTTAAAATTAAAGTGAAGGATATATGCTTAACATCTAAATAATTTAGATACCTTAATATATAGTTTGGATACATTAAATACTAGTTCGCGGACATTAATATATAGCTCAAATACATGAAAGAAATAAAGAATTTTAGAAATTTTAGAAATAAAAAGGGATATTGGAAATAAGAAAATATAAGAAGTGTATTTCAGTAATTTTTCCTAATTTTTACAAGTGACTCTTAATTCTGTGCTAGTTAATTTTTGGGAAAATTACGTGTATAAGCAAACATATACTAATTAATTACTCAACATGACTATAGTTTGCTTTAATACAATTCACGACCTACTTTTAGCTATAATTACGAGGCTCGGCCTTTTGTTTTGTATAATTGAAAATTTGTAAATATTTTGCGTAACTTTTGTATAATTCAAAATTTATATGATATAATTTGTATAATTATTTTTACTTTTGATGTTTGTATTTGTATAAACTTGTTATTTCGAATTAATACAAAAATAACTGAATTGTACAAATGAACTAGTGAATTATACAAACATGCAAATTATATAAACATATGAATTATACAAACGAGACAACTTAGTAATAGTAGCTACAGCTCGCAATTATGCAAACTATAGCTATGGAGCATAATTAAGTTTATTATAGTGGCTATTTGTGAAAGTTTCTGTTAAAATGGCACAACAAGACATCTCATTTTACTAATTGGCAAAATATAGCCCTTTTTTTATTTTTTGACCAAAAAAAGTTTTTTAAAATCTAATTTTGCAATTTATAGGCCCCGTATTTTTTTAATTAAATTAATATAAAAGGGGGCAACCTGATGTCCTTTTTTTTTTGGGAAGGGATTTTTTTCCCTTTTTTTTTTCTCTTCTTTCTTCCCATCCATATACAATTCTTTGGAATCATATTTTCATTTATTCATTATCTTCTTCATTACTTTGAACAAAATATGTTTTACTTTCTTGTTTATTAGTTCTACATATTGAATTCTATAAAAATATTCGTCATAGCGTACTTTTTCTCTTTCGCTTTTAAATTCTTGATGATTTATTGATATTTACCGGTCAATTTTCCTAATTGTTAGCCAATGTTTGATACCCTCTTGTATTGTTGTTTCACTTTGGGGGGGGGGGGTTAATTTTGAAATTGAATATTATACCTAATTTACGTAAAAAATTACGTAATATTTTTTAATTGATTGTCATGTTTAAGAAAGTTATCCTAGGATCATTCATAAAAATGGAGATTCTGATTCTAATTTTGTGGATTCTCCATCCTTAACTCTAAATTTTATAACCATGTAAGTTCTTATTGTTATCCTATTCGACTTGTGTATTTTCTATTGAACATTTTATATTTCATGTGCAATTCTCATTTTTTTGAAGAAAGAATCTAGAATGTGTACAAATTTGGAGAGAATGCATATACGGATATGCATATATACATGAATGCAATATATATATGATGTTAATGATTAAATTATTTTTTTCAATGCAGTGTATATATATTATAAGTGAATGAATACATAAAGGAATAACATAGCTATAAATGTATAACAATACTAATCGAATGAATACACCATTTTTTTTACCTATATACAATCATCAAGTATACAATTGAATTTTTTATTATCAAATAATGAACAAAAAAATATATAAAAATATAATTTACGTTTTTAAACGGTTACATATTGTATATATAATTTTGTATGTTTCCGTTAGTTTTATTGTTTAGTGATATTGTTAATCAAAGAAAACAAAAAAAATTTATTAAAATGTCATTTATAATAAATTTAAGGAATCTCATAGTGTAATTCAATAATTACACTCTGTCCCGACAAATTTAGTATTTACTAAAAATCCCTTAAAATTTTTGTTCCGTGATACTTTAGACTCTAGTGATACATGGTAAATTTAAACTGTTAAGAAAAAAATGGGGAAAAAACAGTACATTTAAACTTGTTAACTAAAATAGCTTAATTTACGGTAACAGATCATTAATCAGCATTAAATTAGCACGTAATTGAATATTAATTTCAAATTTTGGAAATCAAAGATTATATCATCTATTTTGAATACAATTTTCAAAACCGCATGATACATAGAAAACATTATGATATACAATAAATTCATGTATCAATGCATCGTCTAAAACACTATACACACTGATTCAAAATGTATCAGCAAGCACACTTGATGGATTCAAAATGTATCAATGCATCATCTAAAACACTATACACACTTGATGGATTCAAAATGTATCAGCAAGTACACTGATTCAAAATGTATCAGCAAACACTTCATGTATCAATGCATCGTCTAAAACACTATACACACTGATTCAAAATGTATCAGCAAGCACACTTGATGGCGCAGTTATTGAAATTAATCACTGATACATGATAAAAAATTTCAAAAACCCTTGATACATAGGAAATCATATGATACACATCTAATTCATGTATCAAATCATAGACTAAACATTATAACCACTTAGTACTTATGTATTAAACCTATTGTCTGATACATGATAATAATTTTCATAATTTTTTGATACATATTGGATTCCTTAAAATTTTTACTAATTTCAACAACAATTTTAAAATAAGTATAAAAATACAAACCCGAAACAATGTAGGCCTGACGACAATGTTTGCTGCTTCTTTTTTCTTTTTTTGTTGTATTTTGATAACTTTGATTGGTATGTTTCACCAGAGTCTTTGTTTGAATCCTTCTAAAGATTCATAGGATCATGCAAAGACTTTTTTCTATTTTCTTTCCAATTTTCATCGTCAGAATCATATAATTTAAAACTCTTTCATAGAGAAAAATTAAGAAGAAAAATTGGGATCTCTGTGATAATTGGGTCGGCATCAACCCGATTTTCAGCAAAATCATCAACTTGGATTTGATCAAGCACAAGTACTAATCCCATGGCAAAGGCACAATCAAACCCATACTTTATTGAGAGAGAGAAAATGTCTTTTCCAAGCACCATATGAGCACAAGCATTCAATTTTCAGAAATTTCAAATTTTTTGAATTTTGAAATTCAAAATTTCCATATTAAATGTCGTGAAACATTTTTAATTAAAATTAATAATTCAAAATTCAAAAAGTGATTCAGAAGATTGAGTGTTTTAGTGGAGAAAAAATAGGCATGATATGGGGAAGTGTGTATTATAGGAGAGAAAAAATAGGCATGATATGGGGAAGTGTGTATTATAGGAGAGAGAAGACCATGTATCTCTAAACTTATACTAAAATTAAAAATAAAAAAAAAGAATTATGTAATATTTAAAAAAGAAGGAAAAATTAGAGAATACTAAACTTATAGTTGTGTATTTAAGTTATTTTCCCTTTATAATTTGGGTCATTTTGTGCTTATTTTTTAGTTGTCTATTAAATGCTAATTAATGTTAGACTATCTATTGCTAATTATACTATCAATTGTATATATATATATGTCATTTCCTCTTTTTTAGTTGCGAAGAGCTAGCAGCCCATTTAATTGAGCCCATAAAATTGAAGTAAGTCCATGGATATGTGATATTGTCCGTTTTAACTTTTATGGAAAAGAACAAATAAATGGCTTTTACTTGTTTTCTAGTTGTATATATAATTGAAAGGGAAAATCAGATAAAATATTCATTAGGTTAAACTTTTTCAATTATTATTTGTTAATTGTTATATAAAATTGGCCATTCATCCACTACTTCTTGCCGGTGAGGTGCATTGTGATGATCTCCAATTCATGCCATTAACGTTTGAATTAGTCAAAAGGTAATATGCGCTTGTTTGGTATTTGATTTTAGAAAAGCGTGCATCATATTTTAAATTAAACAAGTTTGGTTCAGTTCGATTTAGTTTTTTGGTATTTTTAAATCAATTTTTTAATGTGAATAAGAATAAAGAAAATAACGAGAAAATATGATAAAATAATAATTATTTTTCAGTTCACACTTCAAACTTCAAAGTAACAACTAAATGTCTAACAATAAAAGGTAAGAACATCAATTCATTGTTCAAACTTCATACTAACAACATAAAATGATAAAATCATAAAGTAGAAAGTAGAAACACCAAGTTGATGTTCAAACTTGAATTAAATTGAGTTTTATTTAGTTTAGACTTTAGATCTGTAATGTTTCATATTTTGTTATTTAGATTTTTTCTATTTAAGTTTAGGCTCTAAATATGAAAATTGAAATGAGCTAAATAAAGTTAAAAATTAAGTAATACATTTAATATTTTTAAATTTATTTAATAAACTTTGATTCTTCAATGCATCATAATTTATTTAATGTATTCTAGTTTAATTTTTAAACAAGTTTAATTAAGGGCAAATTAATTTTAAATTCTGTTTAAGTATTTTATTAGAGTGAATGATCGCATATTTGTCTATTGAGAGTGGAGAAAATTTAGGAAGACATCATGGCTAGTTTTGATATTCCAACAATTGATGTTTCTCCATTCATTACATCAGAGGAAAATGAAGAAGGGAAAAAGAAGGCGATTGAGCAAATGAGAGAAGCTTGTGTTAACTATGGCTTCTTCCAAATTGCGAATCACGGAATTCCTTTGGATTTGTTGAGCAGAATCATGGATATGTACAAGACTTTCTTTGCTTGTTCAGATGAAGAAAAACTATCGGTACCTTCTGATAACTATTTCAAAAGCACAAAGAAATCTGCTGGGACTTATGAGCAGCTACTGTTTCATCTTTCATCCTCTGGTTTCAACGTCTGCCCCGAAAATCCACCTCGTTTCAAGTAATGTTTTACTAATTTATTGGAAACTGTTTCTAGTTTAAGCGATTTCCTGTTATGGTGATTTGAGAATGTTGTTTGTGAAATAAATCTGTTTTGATTTTGTTAGGCAAGTATTGGAGGAGATGGCTTCACATTTCACAAATTTAGGATTTGTATTGGGGAGAATCATAAGTGAGTGTCTGGGCATCCCTCCTAACTTCCTAGCAAACTACAGAAATGATCAGGCTAAGGACTTCTTGCTCGGCATCCACTACAGTCCAGCGACAGAAGCTGAGAACGTAGGAAAATCCGCACACAAAGATCCTGGCTGCATCACCATTCTCTACCAGCCTGAAGTTGGAGGTCTTCAGGTGCAGAAAGATGAACAGTGGATTCCCATAGCGCCTTCCAAAGACAAACTAGTAGTTAATATTGGTGATGTCATTCAGGTAATTATAGTTTGGTTATTACTGATTTATTTCACAGTTACAATTCTTCAAGTTAACATTTTATTTTGTGTTTACGTATTAAAAAGGTGCTAAGCAACAATAAATTCAAGAGTGCAACGCACAGGGTGATCAGACCAAGAGAAACAAACCGTTACTCGTGTGCTTTCTTCTACAATGTGCAAGGAGACAAGTGGGTTGAGCCATTACCACAGTGTACCAAGGAAATTGGAGAATCGCCCAAGTACAGAGGATTCATCTTTAAAGAATATGTGCAGCGGAGACGCAGAGACGAGACTCATCCACCAGCTAGACCTGAAGATCTATTCAATATATCCCACTACTCAATTTCTACTTAGAGCACAAGTCTATATGGAAAGAAACATAGCATAAATACGTATGTCAAAGTGTGTGACTATCTCATTTAAACTATTACCGGGGACACAATTATTTTCTTAATTATGTTAACACGTCTTTGATCGTATAAGCCTGATTCTTTGAAGAGGAATCCTCAATGCGCTGTTTGTTGTTACTGATTTAAAATAATCAAATTGCAGATACTGCAAAACTTGTTTGTTTGTTTCCTATTTTTTTTTTCTGAATAATGTCAAGTACTCCTTCATATTGTTTACTCTAGTTTTAGACACCAATGCATATTACCTATTTAAAATTAAAAATAAGAAAACAGAAGGCTATTAGTTTGCCCATCGTCATCTTTCATCAGGTGGGCAGGTACATTATGATTTTTTTATTGGTTTTTGAATTTTGGATCAGAGTTTGCTGATCTGTTGTATTTTAATAATGTTTCTGTGGACCTTGATTCAATACTGGCTTTTGAATTTTTTTAATTTTTTGGCTTTTGGAAATCTGGATCAGGACATGAACAGACAGATGGGCAATGGAAAATGACATTCAGCGACCAAAAAAACAAAAGAACACATGTCATACATCTAAATTAATGGTTGAGATTTAAACACCTGAATCTCATAAGAACTTGGAGAAATGAAGAGATGCCAAATTTAACTAACTTCTTATAAAATAAACTCAATACAACATCCAATATAAGACGAAGAACGAAAAATTAAGGAAAACATCAATATGGCTAGTTTTGATATTCCAACAATTGATGTTTCTCCATTTTTTAAATCAGATGAAAATGAAGGAGCGAAAAAGCAGGCTATTGAGCAAATTAGAGAAGCTTGTGTTAGCTATGGTTTCTTTCAAATTGTGAATCACGGAATTCCTTCTGACTTGTTGAGCAGAACCATCGATATGTATAAGACTTTCTTTGGCTGTTCCGATGAAGAAAAACTGTGTTTACCTGATAATTATTTAAAAAGCACGCCGAATTCAGCTGAGACTTTTGAGCACTTGTGGTTTCGTTTTCCATTCTCTGGCTTCAATAACTGCCGCAGCATTACACCTCATTTCAAGTAATATTAATTCCGCTATATTCTCTCTCAAATTAACTGCTGATCCTCTGTTATGGTGTTTCCAATATAATTTTCATGTTCTCTGTTTGATATTCTTAGGAAAGTATTGGAGGAGATTGTTTCCCATTTCACAAAATTAGGAGTTGTGTTGGAAGGGATCATAAGTGAGTGTCTTGGACTCCCTCCTGACTTCCTCTCAAACTACAGAAATGGTCGTTCTCGGGACTCGTTGATGGGGCTGCACTACTTTCCAGCGACAGAAGATGACAACACAGGAAAACCTGCACATGAAGATCCTGGCTGCTTCACTATTCTCTACCAGGATGAAATCGGAGGCCTTCAAGTGCACAAAGATGACCACTGGATACCCATACCGCCTTCCAAAGACAAACTAGTTGTTAACATTGGTGATGTCATTCAGGTATATATAATTCGAATGCTCGTTGATTTCAAATTTACCATTATCCCAAAATTTTAACTTCTTATGACGTTGTTGACGTATAAAAAGGTGCTAAGCAACAATAAATTCAAGAGTGCAACTCACAAAGTAGTGAGACCAATTGAAACAAACCGTTACTCGTACGTGTTCTTCTATAATGTGGAAGGAGACAAGTGGATTGAGCCATTACCACAATTTACAAAGGAAATTGGAGAGTCTCCCAAGTATAGAGGATTCGTGTTTGAAGAATATCATGAGTTGAGATTCAGAAACAGGAGTCATCCACCAGCTAGACCTGAAGATCTCATCCATATAACACACTACTCAATTTCTAATTAGACAAAATGTTTATGTGATGAGAAATTTTCTCTCTATATGGCAAGAAACATAGCGATGATATGTATGCAGATCTTTTGTTTTCTTTCTTTTCCGAATAACATCAACTACTCCTTTCATATTGTTTTAGACATCAATGCATCTGTTTTATAAAATTTAACTCCCTATTAAAGCTACATGGAATAAAGACTAATGAGATTTTTTTCTCAACAAATGTGAAATAGTCCTAATTTAGATGTAACAAAACAAATTCATGGCCAGAAACTGAATACTTATATGGCCACATGGGGCAGAAATCAACAACTGACTTCTCCTTAAAACTTCACTTTTTTTTTTATAAAGAGGTTGTGAACAACATTGTGGGTGAAGAAACATCATTCTAGTATTGAATGTTAGAAACGATTGATATTTCTTCATTGTTTAGATCAGAGGAAAATGAAGAAGCGAAAAAATAAGGCTATGGAACAAATTAGAGAAGCTTGTGTTAACTATGGTTTCTTCGAGATTGTGAATCACAGAAATCCTTTGGAGTTGTTGAGCACAAGTATGATGAACAAGATCCAATAAATCCAAGAAGAATTGATCGATGAACTATCAAGTGTTTTTGGACAGAGTTGAAAAAGAACATACTTCAGGTTACTTACCTTTTTTTAGTTCATACATATTCAAGTTTATGACTAATAAATAACTCAATCTTACCCTTGACTTTTATATTCTTTTTGGATTTATTTTTTACTAGTACAAAGGATTCATCTACAAAGAATATCTGCAGTTGAGACTCAGAAACTCGACTCATAGTCCATAGACCTGAAGATATGATCGATATAATTCAGTACTCAATTTCTAATTAGAGGACAAATAGCAGATCTTGATTCTTTTTTTTCTGAATAACGTCGAGTACTCCTTCATATTGTTTACTTTTTGTTTTTTAGTTTAGACACCAATGCATCTGTTTTATAAACTTAACAGATGGAATCTAGATTATTCAGATTTTGTTTTCTGAACAAATACTTGATAATTAATGCTAAAAAATAAACCACAATTTTTGTCTGCTGGTAACGTTACTAAGGCCCACACAGGCCAACTGAAGAAATAATGGGGTTAAAGAGCCTCTTTTTTAGGTAAGAATTTATTATCTATATATGGGGTTTATGTTTATAAGCTGACATAAAAAATACTAGTAATTTTATTTTGTCATGTCAAATTATGTTAATGATAAATGTGGTTGAGTAATTTTTGTAGCGATTCATTGTTCGGACTCCACTATTTACCAGTGATGACAACATTGAAAACCTGCACATGAAGATCCTGGCTTCTTCACTATTCTCTACCAGGATGAAGTTAAAGGCCTTGAGGTTCTTAAAGATGACCATAGCGCCTTCCAAAGACAAACTAATTGTTAACATTGGCGATGTCATTCAGGTATTTCATTTATAACTCCGCTCTTGCTTGGTTACACATTTACCACTGTCCCAAAATTTAACCAACTTATTTTGACATAAATTAAAAAAAGGTGCTAAGCAACAATAAATTCAAGAGTGCAACTCATAGAGCAGCGAACCCAAGTGAAACAGACCGTTACTCGTACGCGTTCTTCTATAATGTGCAAGGATCCAAGTGGGTTGAGCCGTTACCACAATTTACAGAGGAAATTGGAGAGTCGCCTAAGTACAGAGGATTCTTGTTTGAAGAATATCTTCAGCTGAGAATAAAAAACAGGAGTCATCCACCAGCTAGACCTGAAGATCTCATCCATATAACCCACTACTCAATTTCTAATTAGAGGACAAGTCTATGTGATGAACAGTTTCATCTATATTATGGAAATAAAGATGTGTGCGACCATCTCAATTAAAAATTTAAATTGTTAGCGAGCACAATGTGTTTTTGTTAGTTAAGTTAACACCTCTTTCAGATTCTATGAAAAGAAATCCTCAAATTTATATCTGTGTCTTGCCGCGGTATGTTGTTTCCAATTCAAAATAATGAAATTGCAGATTTTGTTTTCTTGCTTTCCTTTTTTAATTTTCAGAATAACGCCTTCCTATTGTTTACTATACTTTTAGACATCAATGCATCTGTTTTTATAAAATTTTACTCCATATTAAAACTATATCGGAATCTAGAGTATTGAGATTTTCTCTGAACAAATCTTTGATAATTCTAAAATGATTGTATTTCACAAATGAGAAAGAGTACTAATTAAGATTAACAACGCAAATTATAGTGAAATCACGTGAAGTTATATAAATTGAAGGATCCATGTGACGTGGTTATGTCCTTTTTCTATGGGGAGTTAAATTATTTGATTTAATTAATCTGTAACCATACTTATCCTTTTTTATAATGTTAATCATCAGCCAGAAACACACGTATCTACATAAGTACTTAAAAAGCCACCATTTTTGTTTGTAATCTTGTACTAATAAGATTTTTCTTAGTCATATTGAATGTGGTAAATAAACATGTCTAATTCAGTGATGCCAATAGTTGATCTCTCCCCGTTCTTTTTACGAGATGAAGATGGCCAGAGAAAGGCAAGAGAAGTGATAAACGAAGCATGTAGTCGATATGGCTTCTTCCAAATTATCAATCATGGGGTGCCTTTGGACCTTATGAGCCGCGCCTTAAATCTATCAAAGTCCTTTTTCGAGTGTCCTGTTGAAGAGAAAATGAACTGTTCTCCATTGCCAGGGGCGCCTTTTCCTGCAGGCTATAACCGAAAACCAAATCCATCTTATGAATTTGCAGAGTACTTGGTCATGCTTCACCCTGGATCCACCTTCAATGTTTTTCCTCCCAATCATCCACAGCTCCAGTAAGTTATATATTAGAACGAAACGATTTATATGCATGAAATTTTTTGACATGATTAGTATTGTTTGATCATATTTACCATGTTATCAATTAAAATTTCGTCATAGAGTTTGCTTCTCATTACCTTTTTGAGTGATCTGATTGCGTAAATATTGACCTTAAAATCACACTACTAGTTAATTTCATTATTTGTTGAGAACCTTTACATCTTTTAAAACATATGACAGAGCTATCCAGAAAATGAATACTTTATTTATATGACCATATGGGGCAGAACAGAAATGATTAAAGGCTATTTAATTTTAAAATCCCATAGATTTAACTATTTTTATTGGAGTGAATGATTAAGGGCTAGTTAATTTTATATGAGTGAATGATTGCATATTTCTCTATTAATCTAATGTATAGAACACAAATCATCACCTTTGTAGGGCATGAAAAGCTGATCACTTAAAATTTAAAAATAAACAGAAAGGAACTTGTCCTTCAAGTTGAACGAATAGCCATTGACATATTAATTTCTAATTGTTTATTCAATGTTACAGAGAAGTAATGGGAGATT